TCACCATGTTAGCTAGGAAGGTCTTAATCTCCTGCCCGCCTTGGCCTCCCAAAGTGCTGGGATTACAGGTGTGAGCCACTGCGCCCAGCCTTTTTTTTTTTTTTTTTTTAGACGGAGTCTCGCTCTGTCTCCCAGGCTGGAGTGCAATGGCACGATCTCGGCTTATTGCAACCTCTGCCTACCAGGTTCAAGCGATTCTCTTGCCTCAGTCTCCTGAATAGCTGGAACTATAGGCGTACGCCACCACACCTAGCTAATTTTTGTATTTTTAGTAGAGACAGGGTTTCACCATGTTGGCCAGGATGGTCTCGATCTCTTGACTTCGTGATCCGCCTGCCTTGGCCTCCCAAAGTGTTGGGATTACAGGTGTGAGCCAGAGCGCCCAGCCAGAGAGCTGACATTTCTACATCTGTTTGCTGAAGCTGGATGAATCCGTCCAGACTACAGAAGAGAAAAATCTGCTTTTTCACTCAGCACCATAGGCACATACGAGTTGGTTTACTCTTTTTTTTTTTTTGGCGGAGTCTCGCTCTGTGGCCCAGGCTGGAGTGCAGTGGCCGGATATCAGCTCACTGCAAGCTCCGCCTCCCGGGTTCACGCCATTCTCCTGCCTCAGCCTCCCGAGTAGCTGGGACTACAGGCGCCCGCTACCTCGCCCGGCTAGATTTTTGTATTTTTTAGTAGAGACGGGGTTTCACTGTGTTAGCCAGGATGGTCTTGATCTCCTGACCTCGTGATCCGCCCGTCTCGGCCTCCCAAAGTGCTGGGATTACAGGCTTCAGCCACCGCGCCCGGCCTGGTTTACTCTTTAGATATTGCTTTTCCTGGCTAACTCCAACTCTGCAAAAATTAAAAGTTCTTAACAAGTAATTCTTGTTCCAAATCAGGCTTTCTCAGTCCCGGGACTGCTGTCATTTTAGGTTGGATATACTTTGCTGAGGGACTGTCCTGGGCACTGTAGGATATTTAGCAGCCTCCCTGGTCTACCCCCTAGATACCATAGTACCAACTGTGTCTCCAGAGTTGTGACAACCAAAAATGCCTCCAGACATTCCCAAAGATACTCCGGGGGCCAAACTGCTCCAACTGAGAAGCAGCCTTCTAGAAACACTAGGCACTGCTGAAGTTAGGCAGGGCCCATGGTAGCCTGAGGGGAGTGCTCACCTCCATTCCATCCATGGCCATGGTGGCCAGGTAGTTAGGGTCCTGCTTGTTCCAGCAGAGGCGAAGCAGCGGGTGATGCTGTGGGTCTTCGTAAATGATGGTGCTGTGTTCTAGATGGCGGAGGTCAAACATCCGCACGGAGCCATCAGCACCCACAGAGGCAAACATGTCCCTGCCACCCCCGGCCCGGCTAAATGCAATATCATAGACCTGTTGGTGAACAAGAAGCTCCGGTCAGATTCAGATCCATTACCTCTTCTTCCTATAGACGCCACGTCAAGTTCATCTAAACCTCGCTCATGACACAGAAGCAGGTAAATGAAGCCCAAACAGTGTCTGTGAGTACTGAAACCTGACAGTTCTAGTATCCGTGGCTTTCCAAAGATGGAGGATCATTCTGCTATAGAAATTGGCTGGTTTCTTCCCACATTCCTGCTTTCCAAATCTTCTTCCTCCAACCCCTGAGATAAAACAAAGGCACATACCCTGCTGACCAACAGAACAGTGGCTGTCTTCTGCCACACGACAAGAATGAGACATTTATTTCCTGGGCCTTATGCACAATCAGAGGCAGGTCTATGAGCCCATTAAGTCCTAGATCATCAATCACAGAGGTGAAAGCAGCCCTCCTGTGGTCACTGAATAGCAGCCAAGCTGATTCTACTGTGAAACCTGGACCTGAGACTCATGTGCAAGAAAGAGGTAACAGAAATTTTGAGTCATGAGAGGCCTAGATGTTCCTGTATTCACAAATAGGTTTAGTAGCACCCTCTTGTCCTAGGACATGTTGTTTCTTCTCCTAGTTGGTTTGTGATCATAAGTGAATCAATTTAGGTTCTAAATCACTGTTTTCTGCTTTTATTTGCTGCAAACATTGCATATCACTAACATCTATGAGGAAATAGAGGCAGAGAGCAATGGAGAGCTTCAGAGAAAGAGAGGACGAAGGCCAGGTGCGGTGGCTCACACCTGTAATCCCAGCACTTTGTGAGGCTGAGGCAGGCGGATCACAAGGTCAAGAGATCAAGACCATCCTGGCCAACACAGTGAAACCCTGTCTCTACTAAAAATACAAAAAAATTAGCTGGGCATGGTGGCTGGCACCTGTAATCCCAGCTACTCAGGAGGCTGTGGCAGGAGAATTGCTTGAACTCGGGAGGTGGAAATTACAGTGAGCCGAGATTGCACCACTGCACTCCGGCCTGGGACAGAGCAAGACTCTGTCTGAAAAAAAAAAAAAGAGGATGAAGAGGGGCAAAGAGAAAGCCAGAGACAGACAAGTAGAGAGAGAAACAGAAATAGAAAAGCTAATGCCAAACAAAACTCATCTTCTGGGGATAATGACAGATGACTTCTGGGGAGACAAGACTAGAATTTCTCACTAAATATTGCAGCTCCAGTGTTGAGGTTCTGCCTACTGAGGGACACTGCCAAATGAGCATCTATTGCTATTTAACCTCATGAGTTCCTTTTTTTTCTGGCTATGAAGAAATTATGCTTGTTCTTCTATGGCCGGAAGTAGAAGTGGTTCAAAAGGGACTGGGCCAGTCATCAACAAGGAGGCACCCAGGCCTGACATGCCTGACAGATCGAGGCTTTGTCTAGTACTGTACAGCTGCTTTAAGGCACAGCCGTGTTTATTGTATACCCCCCAACGCCAGCTCCTGGTAACCCTCAGGGACAGAGATGCCATAGGTGCCATGGGCAGTGTGGCCGAGTGTGTAACGCTCTCTTAGCTCTAAGTGACTGCTCCTTCAGTGCTCCACCAGCATGGTTCACTGGGAAACCAAGGGAAGGTGGCAACTCCCAAGTACACTAAACTCTCTTCTACAGTGATCTGCCAGGTACCAATGAGAGCCTTCCAAACAAGTCTCTTCCTAGAGAAAGGTAGACTGAGAAAAATCAAAGGTGCTAGAAAGGTGCTATTACTGTTTCTCTAGAGCCACTATCCTTTCTCAGGCTCTTTCCTTCAAGACAAGGCTGCCGATCTAAGCCTGTCTGCTGCCAAGATCCATTCCTGGCCTTTCTCCCTGCTCTTCTCTGCATCACAAGAGAACTGATTCCTACAGTGTGCATTTGGCAGGCTCTCAGATCTGCTTGCTGCTTCCGGCTGGTTCAGCCATGGGAGGCTTTGGTGGGAAACTGGATGATGGGAAGCAGAGAGAAGCTAAGGTATTTCTCCTCCCCTCTCTCTGTGCCTAGAAGCGTCTCTGCCAGGTAAATCCAGCCCCTGGGCTCCAGGAACCCTGCCTCCTCCCATGGTCCTTCTGGCCCATAGGCAGCTGCAGCTTTCTGCTGCTCCCATTCTATGGATGACCTCACTGCTATCTATGTGGCTTCTCAGCTTTACCATCTTCTGTACAAGCAGCCCCTAGATTAAATCCCCGCAGTTCAAATACTTAAGAGTAGTTCCCATTTTCTGGGTTGGACCTAACAGACAACAGCAGGCTAAGGTGTCATATAACTAAAATGTAGCAGCTTGTTCAACTTGATACCAAGAGGGTTTCCAGAAGTTCCTTACTGGTCCTCTCTGCGGCACAAACTCTTCATTTGACCCCTGGTTTAGCAGCAGTCAAGTCTAGAAGTTTTGTAACAGGGCTTACCCTTAGGAGTATAGAAAGCCAAAGACAACCCCTTACTAAGAATGATAACCTGGGTCACATCTTCCTATGCTGTTGACAACCTCAAGTTTCTGACCTAAGGTCAAGGCATTCTTTTTATCTGTACAGATATTAATACCCCTAGCTGTGCAGGGTAAGGTAGAAAAGAAAAGGAAATAGTACCCATAGGAGATGAGAGTACCAGGAGCATGCAACGACTCTAGGAGGAAAAGATTTATGGGGATTTTCTAAAATCACTGAGAAGAATGCTTTGATTAAAATGCAATTGGCTGGGCGTGGTGGCTCACGCCTGTAATCCCAGCACTTTGGGAGGCCAAGGTGGGTGGATCACCTGAGGTCAGGAGTTCGAGACCATCCTGGCCAACATGGTGAAACCCTGTCTCTGCTAAAAAATACAAAAATTAGCCAGGCGTGGTGGCGGTCACCTGTAATCCCCGCTACTCCGGAAGCTGAGGCAGGAGAATCACTTGAACCCAGAAGGCGGAGGTTGCAGTGAGCCCAGATTGCACCATTGCACTCCAGCCTGGGCAACAAGAGGAAAACTTTGTCTCAAAAAAAAAAAAGCAATCACAAATAGTTCTCCTCAGTTTTCCCAATAAACACAGAAGCATCACCATCAAAGTAAAATATATTCCATTGCCTCCATTGCCAACAGTAATGAACGTATAAAGATTTAGGATTTTTGGCCGGGCGCGGTGGCTCAAGCCTGTAATCCCAGCACTTTGGGAGGCCGAGACGGGCGGATCACGAGGCCAGGAGATCGAGAGACGATCCCGGCTAACACGGTGAAACCCCGTCTCTACTAAAAAATACAAAAAAACTAGCCGGGCGAGGTGGCGGGCGCCTGTAGTCCCAGCTACTCGGGAGGCTGAGGCAGGAGAACGGCGTAAACCCGGGAGGCGGAGCTTGCAGTGAGCTGAGATCCGGCCACTGCACTCCAGCCTGGGTGACAGAGCAAGACTCCGTCTCAAAAAAAAAAAAAAAAAAAAAAAAAAAGATTTAGGATTTTATAAAACATTTATAGAGAAAAATGGATAATTAGGTTTGTCTCTCAGAAACTTTTTTCTCTTCCTGTCTCTCTTCCTTCCTCCCCAAATCTAATCTATTTCAAGATAAGTATTACTCTAAAGTTATTTTTTAATTACATCAGTTCCCAGCTCCTCTATAAGAGACTTCATTATTAAAAAACAGCAACATCAGGAAAGGAAGTTCCAGGGCCTGTGCTGGGAAAGAGGTGGGGGGACCAGGGGAAGACTCAGGGTGCAATGGCAGCGCAAATTCCAATTGTAGACACCACTTCCACTCCCAGAATAGTCCGGAACAGCAAGAAGAGGCCGGCCAGCCCTTCCCACAATGGCAGCAGCGGCAGGGGCTATGGCGCCAGTAAGAAGAAAAAAGTGTCTGCCTCCAGCTTTGCACAGGGTATCAGCATGGAAGCCATGAGTGAGAATAAAGTGGCACTCTCTGAGTTTAGCACAGGACCTGTGGAAAAAGCTGCCAAACCTTTGCCATTTAAGGATCCCAACTTTGTACACTCTGGCCATGGTGGCGCAGCTGCTGGTAAGAAGAACAGAACCTGGAAGAATCTGAAACAAATCCTCGCTTCCGAAAGGGCATTGCCGTGGCAACTGAACAATCCTAACTACTTCAGTATTGATGCTCCTCCATCCTTTAAGCCAGCTAAGAAGTATTCTGATGTTTCAGGCCAACTACACAGACCCCCAGAGCAAACCGCGGTTCAGCACCATTGAAGTTTTCCTACATTCAGAGGCTGCCCTCTGACGTCGTCACCGGCTACCTGTCCCTGAGGAAGGCCACAAGCATCGTTCCCTGAGCCCGAGAAAAGGAGATGAAATGGAAAGCTGTTTCAAAAACAGACTCTGGACTCGTGATTTTGTTTCATGGAAACAAACTCGTTCTGCTGTCAATCTGAAAATGCCAGTGCTGTGCCTTGGAAAGAATGTTTGGCTTTCATTTAAGGGTTTTTTTGAGTGTGTGTTTTCCCTCCAAGTGTGATATTTCCTGCTGAATTAAATTATACTTCAGTTGTTGCCTCAAGTAAAGGTGTTTGACAAGAAAATACAATAACTATACTTTTCATTAAAAAAAAAAAGCAACATCTAGCATGAAAAGAACAATGACAGACCGTATAAGTCATTTACATTAGCCAAAAAAAGCATTAGTTTACAATAGTGTTGTTTTCCCGTTTTTGATACATTACTATTGTCAATTTAGACAAGAAGATGTTATGTTACAATTTTCTACATAAATTGCAGAACAATGAGCGAACAATCTGACCTCTTCCTGTGCGGAAGGCACAGGAAGCATTTGAGGAAAGACGAAATGGAAAAGCATCATTACCTCTTTGTCATGGGCGATCAGTTGGGTCTTCACATGGCCAGACACAAGATTCACTCGCCCTAACACCTGCCCTGTCTCCAGCCCCCAGATGGTGCACGTTGTATCAATGCTTGAGGTACCTGCAAACAACCAGTGCAAGTCAGGGCTGATGGGACCAGGCAAGCTTCCCTCCTGTGTCTACTCATCTGCTTGGCCCAGGGAGCAACATACCATAAAGACTACAGAAAACAAGGTGGCGGCTACCGGCAGAGCCACAGAGGAAGTCAAGTATTCAGTCCTCACCATAAGACCTTAGATTCTAACTGGAGGGACAAGATCTACACACACGGAAAGCTCACCCACACAAAGGAACTAATAAATAACCACATTCCATACCTAGCCTACTTCCCACAGAGCCTTGTTCTAGGATGATGCATGGCCCAGTGTGACATCTGAGAAAATGTATTTTGGCTTCTTCCAGCTGAAATACATACTCCCTAACTCCCTTACCTAAAAGATAAGGATCCACCTCATTCCAGTCAAAGGAGGTCAGGGGAGCACAGAAATCAGAGTTCTTATTATTGTTTAGCAAACACTCCAGCCTGGTCTCTGTTTCACCAACCTGAAGGAACAAGAATTTAAAAAAGAATCAGCCAGTCTTATCCTCATAAAAAATATTTTTAAAAATCCCTGTTTAGAAAATATCTTAGCAAACATAAGACATGAGGGGAAAATATTTTTATCAAAAACAGTAATAAACCCAGGACTCCCCGAATGCTACTTTTTCTCATACTTTCTCCTCTGCCCAGCTTTTGTTTTCTACATTTTCATCCCTGCATCTTCCTAGAGGAGAGGTCTTCTCACCTTGCCCAGCCTGGAACCTCTACACAGGTGTACTAAGGCCATGCCCATGCTACAGAGGACGCTGCTGCTGATGAGCTCAGCCGAGGGCAGAGGGAAGCCTCCAAGATCCACTCACACACTTTATCAGAATCAATGGCCTGGTATTTCATTTAGTTTACTCAAAAATACCTTGGCTGCAAACAGAACATAAGTTCCCAAGCGTTCCCACCTCCCCGAAGGCTGTCATCGTCACCTCGGGTTGACTGAGCTGACTGCAGCCAGACTTCATGGCATCTTGACTTGATTTACTAGAAAATCTGCTGAGCCAAATGAAGTCAGTCCATTTAAGTTTTGCTTGCTTATCCCGTGCTGCAGTGACACTCGCTGCCTCTGACCCCATCTGTTCTGTGACTTCTCACTGCTGACAGCTGAGGCTGAGAAAGCCGACTTGTCTGGCTGCTAATAAAGCATCCGCTTACCCTCCACACACGGAGATAGTCGCCGCTTGTTGCCAGTAGGTCTGGATAGACGCCTTTTGTATCAGGGATCCACATGAGCTTTGTGGTGGGGTACGGGTGGTCAAAGGTGTTTCTGCAAATAAACTCTGAACTCTCCTCATCTAAACCAACAAGCTGAACCTGTAACATGCCAAAGTTGAGCCACATAAGCATTTGTGAACAGTATAGCAAATACATTAGATGCCTGGTCAGTGATAGAGGTTGTTTTTTAAGACAAGATCTTGCTCTGTTGCCCAGGCTGGAGTGCAGTGGTGCGACCACAGCTCAATGCAGCCTCCATCTCCTGGACTCAAGTGATCCTTCCACCTCAGCCTCTCAAGAAGCTGGGGTTAGAGGCATGCACCACCATGCACAGCTAATTTTGTTCATTTTTTGTAGAGACAAGGTCTCACATGTTGCCCAGGTTGGTCTCAAACTCCTGGGCTCAAGTGATCCTCCCACCTCAGCCTCCCAAAGTGCTGGGATTACAGACATGAGCCACCATGCCTGGCCAGTGACAGAAGTCTTGACACTGTACTACACTAAACTGCAGAATCAAAAACAATTGCCGTGAGAGGGCATCTAGTCCAACCATCCCCTGGCAGACAAGGACACCTAGACTCAAAGAGGTGGTTACGCACAATACTGCAAAGGCAGTAGGAGACAGAGACAAGATTTGATTACAGGTTTTCTGATTCAAGTACTGCATTCTTGACACCAACTACATAAGTGCACTCTCTGCCAAGCCAGGCACACCTTCCCCCAAAACCCCTGAGGTATTTGCAAATGAGCAGGGGTGGTTTTGGCTGCCACAATGACTGGAGTGCTGAGGACATTTGGTGCTCAGAGGCCGGGAATATGAATATGTGCAATTTCATTAAACAAACTAATGCTTACTTAAAAATCCAATAGTGCACAACCCTCATCAACCCCAAACTCAACACTGGCTCATTATGTTTACACATAAAGGTACATCAAATGACCATTTAAGAGCCCAAACCAAGCAAAAAAAAGTGGGCACCATTGATGATTAAGTCCCACCTAGCTCTGATCACTTTTTCTTAGAGTCAGTTTTAGCCCACCATTTCCAATCTTTGCTGTCAAACTCGATCTGGCTCGGTGGGACACTAACTGTACATTTGCTTATGAACTTCCAGCTGGAAGATGGAATGGTGGGAATATTTGGTAAAGATCCGCAATAAGGGGAAAAGCACTAACCAGACAACACAAAATAGAATTCCTTCTACTCATCTTTCTGACTTCAGTCTCAGACACCAGTATCTTCCACACATTTTTTTTCCCCAAAGTTAGGTATAGTTGCATGCAATAAAACCCACTCAGGTGTACAGTTAAATGAGTTTTGGCAAATGTACAGTTGTATAACCCCCACAGTAAGATATAAAACATTTCCATTAACTCAGAAAGTTATTGGCCGGGCGCGGTGGCTCAAGCCTGTAATCCCAGCACTTTGGGAGGCCGAGACGGGCGGATCACGAGGTCAGGAGATCAACACCATCCTGGTTAACATGGTGAAACCCCGTCTCTACTAAAAAAAAAAAAATACAAAAAACTAGCCGGGCAAGGTGGCGGATGCCTGTAGTCCCAGCTACTCGGGAGGCTGAGGCAGGAGAATGGTGTGAACCCGGGAGGCGGAGCTTGCAGTGAGCTGAGATCTGGCCACTGCACTCCAGCCTGGGTGACAGCGCGAGACTCTGTCTCAAAAAAAAAAAGGAAAGTTCTCCCAGGCTCCTCTGCAGTCAACCCCTTATAACCACCCCAAGTGGCCACTGGTCTATGGTTTTGTCTCACCATAATACCACATAAATAGAATCAGATGGTCTTGAGTCTTTGGTCTGGCTACTTTCACTCAGTACACTGCTCTTGAGATTCATCCATGTTCTTGTGTGTATCAGTAGTTGCTTCTTTTCTTACTGCTGAATAATATTGCATTATGTGCAACCTGTAATTTTGTGTGCACTATGTGTGCATTATGTGCACTCTATAATTTTGGTTTTGTTTTTGAGATAGGGTCTCACTCTGTTGCACTGGTTCGAGTGCAGTGGTGCAATCATGGTTCACTGCAGGCTCAATCTCCTGGGCTTAAGCAATCCTCCAGCTTTAGCCTCCCCAGTAGCTGTGACCACAGGCATGTGCCACCACACCCAGCTAATTTCTAAATTTTTTGTAGAGATGGGGTCTCCTTATGTTGCCCAGGCTGGTCTCGAACTTCTGGACTCAAGTGATCCTCCTGGCTTGGCCTCCCAAAGTGCTGGGATTACAGGAGTGAGCCACCGTGCCCAGCCAATTTTTTATGTCCTAGTTAAGAAATCTTTGCTTAATCCCAGGTCCCAAATATTTTTTCCTATGTTGTCTTCTAAAAGTTTTCTAGTTTTAGGCTTCATATTTAGGTCTCTGAGTCATTTCAAGTTAAATTTTTATATGGCACAAGATATGAATCAAGGTTTACTTTTTGTTGTTTTTCTTTTTGAGATGGAGTTTCGCTCTTGTCGCCCAGGCTGCAGTGCAATGGCACAATCTTGGCCCATGGCAACCTCCACCTCCTGTGTTCAAGCAATTCTCCTACCTCTCTGCCTCCTAAGTAGCTGGGACTACAGGTGTGTGCCATTACGCCCGGCTAATTTTTTAGTATTTTTAGTAGAGAAGGGGTTTCACCATTTTGGCCATCTAGTCTTGAACTGTTGACCTCAGGTGATCCACCTGCCTCGGCCTCCCAAAGTGCTAGGATTGTAGGCGTGAGCTACCACTCCCGAACAAGGTTTGCTTTTTTACGTATGTCTGCCTGTTCCAGCATCACTGGTTGAGAATTCTTTCTCCTTTGAATTACCTTGAACCCTTTATTGAAAATCAGTTGACTATGTATTTGTTCATCTATTCCTGGACTCTATTCTGTTCCATTATCTATTTGCCTATCTGTTTGCTAGTAGGCAAACTGTCTTGATTATAGTAGCTTTCTAGTAAGTTCTAAAATCAGATAATGAGTTCTCCAACTTTGCTGTTCTTTTTCAAAACTGTTTTGCTATTCTCTACTTTTGCTTTTCCATGTACATTTTACAATCAGCTTGTCAAATTTTACAAAAAGCCTGCTGAGATTCTGATTGGGATTCTGTTGAATCTATCGATCAGTTTGGGGAGAACTGACATCTTACTAAAAATACTAAAAAATTAGCTGTCACCCAGGGTGGAGTGTAGTGGCTCGATCACAGCTTACTACAGCCTTGGCCTCCCAGGCTCAAGTGATCCTCCCACCTCAGCCTCCCAAGTAGCTGGGACTACAGGTACAAGCCACCGTACCCAGCTAATTTTTGTATTTTTTGTAGAGACAGGGTTTTGCCGTGTTGCCCAGGCTGGTCTTGAACTCCTGGGCTCAAGTAATCCACCC